AGATGTTTAGGAAATCATTAGTAAAGATGTTTGAAGACAAAGGATTGGATTGCATCTTTTTAGAAACTAATATGAGCATGAAGAAACAGTATCACATGGTTTATGAATGCATTCCTCTCCCAAAGGAAGTGGGTGACATGGCTCCTGTCTATTTTAAGGTATTTATAGGCATTTTTGCACACATACTTATCTTTTGCTGCTGTGCTATTTTAAGGATAGTTGTCTTCATTCATGTATTTTTTCCCTCCCATATCCATATATCAAAATTTATATCATATAAAGAATAATATAATAAAATGTTTTTTCTACTAAATCTGTTGAAAGATATGTAGAACTTTTTATCTTTTAAATACATGCGTGCTTCGAGCTGGGGAGATACCTGGGCAGGCTAAGTGCCTGCCTTGCAAGCACAAGGACCTTGGTTCAATCCCCTGTATTGCATGCCTTGTAGGCCACCAAAACTGGGCGTGGTGATACACACCTATAATCCCAGCTCTGGGGAGACTAAGACAGGAGGATCACTATGAGTCCAAAAAATTTAAAAAAAAAGTGCTCGCTTCAAATAGTTATAGTGTCTATTCTGATCCCCATTTCTGTAGTGAAATGGGTTTTAACAGAAAGTACTTATGTCAAAACTATAGTTATAATTGTGAGAAATGGATCACTGAAAAGCTAGAACCAAAGATAACATGTAAATAGTACAAATTGTAATTGCTAAGACAAGTTATTAGTGACATTTTAATATTTAATATGATTCTGATACATACTAAAGAAAAATGCTAAAACTAAATACTAAGTTTGATGTACCTTTCAGGGCATGAAATAAATGAGTATAATTTATAACCTATTAAGTGTTATTACAATATCCAGTTAACTTTTACTCACTGGCTTGAATGTAATTTATAGATTAGTGCAAATGCATAAATATAGAGCCATATGAGAAATATTACCATATGCAGATGCATAAATATAGAGCCATATGACAAATATTACCATATGCAAAGAAAAAAGGAGCTCATCTGAATTGGTGTAAGAAAATTGTATATAAAATGGTAAAATTTCTGACTTCGAGCTATAAGGATTATGAAATTTGTTAGAGGGGGCAAGAAATTTTCTCTTAAGTTTAAAGAGACCCAGAGCGCAAGCCGGCGAGTGAGTGAGTGAGATGACCGGAGGTGGCGGGATCCTGAACAGAACCAGAGCGCAGGCCCAGCGAGTGAGTGAGAAGACCTAGGCCGCGGGATCCTGAACAGACCCAGAGTGCAGGCCCTGCGAGTGAATGAGACGACCCGGGGCCCAGGGATCCTCATTTGACCCAGGCTGCATGCAGGCCCAGCACGGAACCCTTCAGCAGAACTCCCTGCAAAGAGGCTAGAGGCAAGACCCACCCAGCTGATTCAGGAGCAGAACATCTTGCCAGAGAGACACAAAGGGTTCAACTCTTAACATCTGCAGCAGAAAGAAATGGAGCACAGCAGCCAGATCCAAACAATACCCACCTGGAGGATTCCAAACTTCACAGATCCGGACCTGGTGCTAAGGTAATAACTCTATCTAAGCTCTACACCAAAGGTCAGAAGACAGGTATACAAAATGACAAAGAGAAGGAACAAAATGCAGTCTCAGGCCCCGAGTCCACCCAGTACAAATGCAGAAGACACTGGCACTGAGGAAACTGGAAATCACACACCAGATATCTCAGAAATAATAGCGTTGACAGTAAAGAATCAACTGCAGAAAGGTATACAAGAAATAATTTCGGAACTAAAAAATGTAGTGGTAACTATAATCAAAGAAGTACTAAGTGCTTCTAAAGAATACACTGACAAAAAAATAGAGGAGAATATAAAAATGATGGAACCCCTGAATAAACAATTTAGGAAAGAAATAGAATCTATGAAACAGGTTCAAAGTGATATACAGGAAATTAAAACCTCAATCACAAGCTAGCAAAACCGTTCGCGTGAAAGTGAAAATAGACTTTCTGACCTGAAAGACACCATTGCAGCTGGTGAAAAAGTAAGAAAAGATCTCTTTAAAACAACTAGGATGCAGGAAAAAATAATTCAATACCTGCAAGATGATGCAAAGATGAACAATGTGAGACTAATAGGCATCAATGAGAAGGAAGGAGTCAATACAAATGATATAAAAAGAATATGGGCAGAAGTAATAGCAGAAAACTTCCCAAATATGGGGCAACAATCTGACATTCCTGTAACCGAAGCATATAGAACTCCAAATAATATCAATCCAATGAAAACCACACCCAGACACATAATAATCAAGATTCCAGAAATTCAGCATAGGAACAGTATACTAAAAGCCGCTAAAGAAAACAAACAGATCACACTTAAAGGAAAACCCATCAGAATAACGGCAGATTTTTCTTCACAAACCATCAAGTCAAGAAGAGCATGGAGCAAAGTACTGCAAGTCTTGCAAGAAAACAAATTCCAACCCAGACTGATCTATCCTGCAAGACTATCTTTCAAATATAATGGAGAAGTGAAATATTTTCATGACAAAGAACAACTAAAGAATTTCATGATGACAAATGAAAGCCTACACAGACTACTAAATGATGTTCTAGAGAGGGAGCAAATTGATCACAGCCCCATGAATGAGAATGGAAAGAACCCGCCAAATAGGGCAAACAAACAGAGGAGAATAAGAGGTATACAATAGTAGTCTTTCAGTTATTCTTTTGTGTTCAGCAGCAGAATATTTTCATCAGCACACTCTACAAATGGACTTCTCTTCCACCCTATGGGTCATGATTCCACTTGAGTCTACAGGATGGATTTCAAAGAAATAGCTGTAGCTCACTTCCACAAGTGACGCCTAGCCACCAATAACTTTCACGGTCATTATGCATGTCCACAGCACATTAGAACTTTGTGCGATATCCTATCTTCAAACTGTTAGAAGTGCTGGTCATTTTCTTGCCATTCCAGTATTTATCTTATGTTTTACTCTTAGTACTTCTTTGCTATCATGAAAACTTTTTCTTAGTTCAAATGGTTTGAAACATTTAATTTTCTGAATATTGCTTAATCTTAATTTTTGTTCTAAGATTTATACTGTATCTTTGACTTACAATTTATTTAAAAGACATTGTATGATATCTTCTCCTAGTATTAGAAACTGTAAAAAGTATATTTCCATTTTCTGTTGACTTAAAAAAAAAAGAGGTTTGTACCTATGTTATTTGCTTATTATTTCTTGCCTATATCTTGTAATATGAGAAACTAGTTTGGCAATAGCAATACACAATGTACTAACCATTGTTACTCTCTTAAATCTTGTTTTGAGATTTTGTACCACTGTTTTTATTTATTTTTCTTTCTTTAAAATAAAAATAACTTATGTTAATAAAAAATAATAATTAATACAGTGCAAAAAAAAAGTTTAAAAACTAGTGTAATCGTTAGATTTAAAGAATTGTGTTGTTAAAGTATAGGAAAATAGTAAGTAATCCCAAAGGTTCGTGCCATTTCTGTGCTAGCCAAATGTAGTTGAGAGAGAGAGTATTCTGTTTTTCCAGTGTGTTTTTCTGTACTTCCTCAGCAGCAGTCATGGGTGCTTGTGGCCAGAAACACTTGAGATACAGGGAGGGACCAGTTCAGAGCAGCTACTGTCGCTCGGGTGGCATGCCAGATACATCATCTCTTAACAGGGTGGTGTAACATACTTCTCTTGTACACTGAACCTTTTTTGGATCCTTAAAAATGCATTTATCTATTATTTCTCTTGGCTTCAATTTTATATTAAATGTGCTACATTATATGAAATCGAGGAGCACATGATTTTAAAATAGGAAATAGCAGTGTATCTGATGTACTGAAATGTAAATACTTGAATATTAATTTCACCTTTGAAATTTGCTTTATTTGTGATAGTATAATACAGTAGTTATTTTATATAATCTCCCTGGCTTTTACTTTTAGGAATCATTTCTATACTATAAAAAGTAGCTATCTTGTTGAACCTGGACAAGTTTTAAAGTTTTGTTTTTGTGTATTTTTCTTACTGCTTTTTAAAGAGAAAATTAGACCTTAGCTGTCTGCATTTTTACTTTTCCATGTGGCTAGAAATGAATTTATTTGAATAGCATTTTGCGGATACAATAAAAAATGTCTAAGCTTTTGTATTATGTTCAGTATTAAAGTACTTGGTCTTACCTGTGATTTTTTTTTTCATGTAAAGTTGATTTAAAATTAGTATAAAAGAGTTAATAGTAAATAAAAGAATTTCGTCTTTGGCTAATGGTAGGATTTTAGCACAATCAAGACATTCTAATTTTAAGGGGCCGGGAGATGGTTCAGTAGAACATGCGCTTCTACTCAGTAGAATATGCGCAAGGCCTTGCGTTCAATCCCCTGGTTCCACTGGGGGGTGGGGGGGTGGGGGGGGGAAGACATTCTAATTTTAAATAACAAAAATTATGTACAGGTTCAAATTCCCTGTAAAGAATGTTTACTATGTATGGCAAACATGTATCAATAAAAGTTAATTTAAAAAATTTAAAGCCTTAATCTATTTAGATGAATTATGTTATATATTCCATTTTGTGTATTATTATGTGTATTGTATAGTACAGATATGTATTCTATGATGTATAAAATCTTTGCATTATTTTAAACGATCTCGTATTTGCTGCTTTGTTTACTCCTTCATCTAACAATAGGCTGTTTCTTAGAAAGCGATAATGGAATCTGATGAAGAGTGGTCCATGAACAAGAAATTAATTGATCTTTCTTCAAAGGACATCAGAAAGTCTGTAAGTACCCACTTTTTTCTAATGTAAGAAATTATTCTAGTGTTTAGGATCTTTACTAACTTTAATATCTTCGTTGAGAAATGGACCATTTGGCTGAGTAAAGGTAAAATAATTCCACAAATAAGAAATTATTTTCATCTATCTGGTGTATAAAATGCTTGCTTTAAAGAAATTTTATTTGATATTGCCTGTCTTCCATGATGTCCCCCACCCCTGTTTACGTGGCAGCCATCTAAGTCTGCCATTAGGCCTTCTTAGGTTGTGGACCTGAGATAATGGGGACATTCATAATGGTAGCAAAATTTTCTGAGAGCCTACATTTTCAGTTTAGAATTCATTTTCTTCTTTTGTTAATATAAAAATTCTAAATTTTGCTCCTATAAACATAGGAATTTGCAAGCATAGGGGCTTATTATGTTTTCTAATTTAATCTTGTTTTGCCAGTCAACTTTTAGATACAGTTCGCACTACGGTCAGTAATTCTATAATGACTTTTCTTATTTTTAGAAATTAAATAATGGAATAGAGATTTAATAGAAGTGTGGATTCCTTTTTTTCTTCAAAAAGTAATTTATTTTACAAATACTTACTAAGTGCATTGCTACTTGTGTGCACTGCTCTAGGTGCTTTTTGTGCATAGTAGAACAAAATGGAGACGATCTCTGCTTTTATGGAGCTTGTGTTCTGGAGCAGGAAATGGCAGCTCGAACCAGCATGTTGAACCCAGTCCTCTGCTTACATGAAGTTTCTTTGGAACATAGTCAGACCCTTTCTTTTGTGTGTTGCCTATGGCTGCTGTCATGCTACAGGGAAAGAGTTAAGCAGTTACAATCAGGACTACATGATTCATATAGTCTGAAACATAGTGTGATTAATAGAAAATGTTTGCCAGTTCTTCTCTCTGTAAATGTCACTGTATGTTTTCTTTCTTATTTCGTCTTCTGAAAACCAGATTCCTGATAGATGACTTGTTTCTGAAAGGATTCCTTTTTATATCCTAGTCAGAAGATTCAAATTGCATTGCATTACTGAAGGTACATAATTGTAATGTGGAAGCACAACATTGTCTTCAATCTTTTTCTCTTCCTTTGCAGGTAAATTAGACCAGATAACATATTAAAATACAAAATAAAAAAGCAAAAACATCCTGAGTGTCTTATTGACGTCTCCCTTTAATTAGCATTTTGAAAAAGGTGGTTATATACATATACATACACACCTATTTTGTGTACTTTTGTCTCAGTTACCTTCTCTTGTTGCTGGGGCAAAATACCCAACACCCAAAATTAAGGGAGGAAGGGTTTACTTAGCTCACAGTTTGTGGAGGTTTCAGTCAATACTTGGCTGGCTGTAAGGCAGCCTGGCAAATGGCAGAGGGCAGCAGTTCATGGAAGCAGAAAACAGCAAAGAGCAAAGGAAGGAACAACCACCACCTCTCTCCTTATATTCTAAGCAGGCTACCCGTGGTGGGGGTGTAGAACTCCCACAATGTCCAGGACCTCCTCTGGCACAGGTTGAGAATGTTTACAAAGTGAGAACCCTGGCTCCCTGTTGTGTCACTTAATTAAACTTCTAAATACAGTGAATCAACCAGTAGAACTTCATAAACCAAAATTTCCCATACCATTAAATATTCCTTCAGAAAATGATTTTTAATAGCAGCTGAAAACATTTTAGAGTAGAAATTTTTAAATAGATCATCTGCTATAAGGTCTACACAGCTTTTTACTGGTGAATCATTTAGTGTCTCTGATTTTTAAAAACCAAGGTAGGTACCTCAGTTAAGTGACCAGTAAATCTTAAGTTCATTTCATTTTCTTTAAAAACAACTTTCAGTATGGCAGTCAACACTTAAATAAAGGCAGAAGGTGGTGGTAAGAAATGAAGAGTACAATCAACAAATTTCTGAAAATCTAAAAACAAGATAAACATACAGTAAAAAGCAACAAACATGAAAAAGTATATAACTACAGACTATATTTAATTTTAATTTTTCACAGTACACATTTGTGGTGTGTGATGTTTATGTTCCTTGCGTGGAGCTGGAATTGTGTGGAATCTTAATTTTTTCTTCCCTTTCTCTTGCTTTCCTCTCACCTCTTTCCATCTCTTGATTCCTTTTTTGCTTGAGAAAGATCTGGCTCCCTCCTTTCTATTCTGTTTGTTATTTTGCTTTTTATTTATAATTTGGGATTCTCTCAAAAATGAATGACAGTGTAAAGGGCTGGGGAGATAGCTCAGTGAAATAAGTGCTTGCCTGACAAGTGCAAGGTCCTGAGTTTGATCCCTGGAACCACAAAAAATAAATAAAATCAATTAAAAGAAATAAACAATTTTTAAAAATCACAAGAATAAATGACAGTGTTATATTCAACATTAAAACATTTCAAAGATAGGAGCCATTGTTTTCCTAAAGTATTCTTTTTCTGGAGACCATTTGAAAAATCACAGTAGATGGAAAAAAGAGGCAGCTGAACTCTTGAGGTATGTTTTAGCTTTAGGATTTTATAATTACAGTACACAGATGGAGCTGTGAAGAGAACGTCAATGTAAAAGTAATTCCAAAGGGATCACTTTTTAGGTTAACAAGCTTTCTAGTGTCTTTATAAAACAGGCGTATTTCTGAACATGAAATGAACAACTGAGTTATTTTAACACTTTCTGAAAGAGCCTCATTATCTTTTTTTAAAAGTATGTCCTTAGTAATTTCATGGGTTTTTTGGCCTACTTATTGAGAGAATGTTGAGGGTTTTTTTCTCACTGCACTAATTCTTATAATACAGATTCACATATTTGCAGTTCATTTTGATTCTTTTGAATTCATGTTTTTCTTTGCTGTGTATATTAAAGGCTTATATTAAAGGCTCCCCTTTACTTTTACTTTCTTTGGGTCTTTTAATTTCTTACAGTGTAGTGTGAAGCACAGAGAAAAAAATGAAGGAAGCAGATCTAAATGTTCAAGTGCAGAGGAGTTGCATGATAATAACTTCAAAAAATGATTAGTTTCACAAGGCTGTTTTATTGAGATTTGCTAAGAATTTTTCTCAGCTTTTAAAAATATTAAGATTAATTGTGTGGAGGGCCAGGTAGTTAGCTCAGTAGAATAGGCACTTGCCTGGCAAGCACAAGGTCCTGAATTCAATCCCTGGTATGGGGTGGGGGGGCTTCATTGTGTGGAAACTGTAGTAACTTTAAACATCTAACATTTAGAGACTGAATTTTTAATTAGGGAAAATATTTCTCAAGAAAAATCCAAGCTTACCAGAGCCCTTGAAACTCAAGGATACTTACAGTAAGTCAGAAGTTACAGCTGGGAAGAAAGGAAAAGACTAGCATATGATTTTTTCTACCATAAATAAATGTTTTTGCTCTGATTCTGCCTCTACCTTTAGAGTAGTACCTCAGTTCCAGTTTTCTCCGTGGTGGCCTGTTCAGTAAAACGAAAGCTTCATCCGTGCCCCACGCAACTTTCATATCCGGGCTGCAGGCTCCTCCACCTTTTTGCATTCTGCAAGCGTGTGGTAGCAGCTGTCTTCCTGAGACACTTGTTGGGTATTCACTGTGCCATCTTTGCAAATATGTCATAATTTGTTGTGTCTTGATATGTGCATTAGTTTCTTATTGCTGGAGTAACAAGTTACTCTAAATGTAATATCTTAAAACATTTTTTATACTATATTTCTGGAGATTACAAGCATGAGATGGGTTTCATTGGACTAAAATCAGTGTGTCAGCAGACTTGTGTTCCTTGTGGAGCCTTCTGGAGCCGTAGGCTTTTCCATCTACAGAAAGCTTGATTTACTGGCCTTCTCAAGTTGCTAGAAGCTACCTCTATTCCATGGCTCATTGTTTCTTCCTTTATCTTCACAGTGGAGAGCGCAGGATTGCCCAGTTGTTCTCTTATTCTGAGCCTCTTGTAAGAATCCTCGTGGTTAATTGAGTGTGTGTGTATGGCACAAGATCACCTCCTCATTCCAAAATCCTTAGCTTATTCATACATGTGAAGTTCCTTTTGCCATGTAAGGTAACATGCTCATAATATATATGGGATCAGGGCATTGACACATTTAAGGGCCCATTGTTCTGTCCACCACAGCATGATACAAACAAAAGGCAATGGTACTGTCATTATGTATTTCTTCCTCAAATTATTTCTCCCTCATGGTACAGTACTTCAGTAGATATAGTTCTCTGACATTTCTTTAGCCGTTCAGATTCATGCTTTATACCTGGCATAGTAGATCAGATGTCAAAAATATTCTAATAGAACCTTTTTTTTTTTTGGTTTTATGGAGCAAGCTTGTATGGGAGATAGAAATGAAATTAGTGATCTTCTATGTGCTGAGAATTGAGCTGGGCATTTTATATACATTGCTCTGTTTGACTTTCACAGTAAACCTCTGACATTTCGTCTTTCTCATGAGACTCAGGTGTGAAATACGTTTCCTGAAGTCATACACTTATGAGTCACAGATACATTTAGAGCATTGTGTATCTTTTAAATTTTTTTTTTATTTTCAAGGTTGTGCATGAATACTGTATTGAAAAGGTGGAGATATATAAAAATATAGTCTCTCAATAACAACCCATTTCTTATGTTTTATGTACTATAATTTATAAACTGAGTTTTTTATACATACTCTTCCTATACTGTGAATAACTATTAATCTTACTTATATTTGCTTTATAATGTTTCAAGGAGACTACTATTTCTGTCATACTATACTGTTTCCTCCTAAATTGTGCCTGCCTGAGGATCAACACAAAATACTTGTAGTTAAGTGGGAATACGTGGTTCAGAATCCCCCCCCCAAAAAAAATTGTTGATTGTGTGTGAGGGGATTAGAGGGGGAAAATGTTATATAAATTGACCCAGTTGGGATAATTTCTAATGATAATAGTAGGGGCTCATGAAGAAAAATTTGGAAGACTTGTGATTTACTTAATTGATAGAAAAAGCAAGAAATTATGACCTTTCCAGTTTTCCACTGAAGATTTATTTTAAAATATATGGTGTATGTGTGTATGTATGTGTGTGTAAAGAGGGAGGAAAAAAACAGTACAGGGTAATAGAGAATCCTAGAGGCATTTTGAAATTATGTTGATAAAGTAAGTATTGTTCTACCACCTTCACCCATTAATAAAATGTTAGTATTGTTCTTGGCTGTCTTTGGTAAGTATATCATAATAAATAAAAATATTAGGGATATTGCAAATGAAACTTAAAGTGTATGATTAGGTGCCTGTGCTAATTCTTTGTTTTAAGTAAAATATGGGAAAGCATATCCTTATTTTTTGTTTATATAGCCTTGAACATTATTCTGGGTTTATAAGAAAATATTTAAGTTTTTTTGTTTTCCCCAAGGACAGAAACATAATTGGTTTTGGTTAGAATTGCCAGATATGATTTAGAGCTCTCTCAGCAAAAAAACTATCAAAATCTTTTATTTAGAAAGGTAGACATTGCTTAGGTATCTCCAGAGTTGGATATTTCTTCTGTATTGAAGGATGTTTAATTATTATCATGTCAGAAAGCAGCAAGAAGGATTAGCATGATTTTATGTTGCATTTTATATTTCTGTTAATTTGCCTGTCTGTTTAGGTTCCCAGGGGCTTGCCTTACTTTTCAGTGGACTTCGGCCTCCAAGGAGGATTTGCCCATGTCATTGAAGATCAACATAAATTCCCTCATTACTTTGGAAAGGTATATTCATAAATTTGATAAAATCCTAAGAGTAAGCAGTTTGGTAATCCCATTTCTTGTTTGTTTCTAAGACAAGGTCTTGCTGTGAAGTTTAGGCTGGCCCTGAAGTAGTGGCAGTGCTCCTGCCTCAGCCTTGTGAGTGCTGGAATTAAGGTGTGCACTGTCATGCCTGGCTGGTCATCACATTTCTTTTGAATGAAAATCAAAACTTTGAGCATGCTGTCCAGTGAGATAAATGAACACTGCTCCACTCAATTGTTAGAGACAGCATCTGGAAAATATTCACAACTATATCAAAAAGTATTTGTAACAGAGTCAGAAAAATTCCTTTGGAGAAATATTCCTTAAGTGTCAACAGTGACTAACAGTAGTTTCTTTCTGGAGTCAGACAGTGTTATCCTGAGAACGATGAAAAGTGCTGACATTTATTCAGGGCTTGCCATGTGTCAGCTGCTGTTCTAAGTATTCATTTAGTGCTCCTACAATAACTCTATAATGTTGATATTATTACAGCTTTCATTTAAAGATGAAGAAATGGCTACAGAGAAATTGTATCATTTTCCTAGTGTCATGTGCTAACTGACAGAACCAGGGGTACCTGTGGTCATGGTCAAAGTAAAGAACAAGTTTATATCACTGTATATATATATATTTAGGCAAGGTATAGTCCAAGAAGACTATATAAATCATTTCACACAAATAGTTTGTGAACAGATAGTGGAGACCAGATATTTTGATTGCTAGTACTTTCTCTGAGAGATTGCCATCTTAGAGTAGAGCCCTTAATGGTCTGCTGAGCTATAAATTGTTGGGAGTGGAGTGAGGTTAATGTAGCAACTGGAACAGCCAGAGGAATGCTAAGCAATAATAACTCTAGAAGTGACCTTTAATCCTTGAATCAGGCCTTTTTGATTACATCATCTCTCTCTAGAGGGCCTTGGTGAACTCTGCTCGGTGTTCCCTTTGCCCCAGCATGCTTCCTCTCCATGGCCAGATCTTGCATTGGCCCATCTTCAGCAATGAATGGGAACATCAAGAGCTGCAGAAGTTTTGATGCAGTACTTATTTTGCCATTGTCCTTAATGGTTAACCAGATTCCAAAACTGCATACATCTTTGTACTGTTGTAATATATTATAGGATCTTGTTTTAGACATTTTCAAAATAGAAATTTATTTTGTTTTCTCAACTCTGAAAAATCCTATTGTTATTCCCTAGAGCCTTAAAGCTAAGGGCCTAAAACTCTGAATATATTAAAAAATTTTAGATTTTAGTACAGAAGAAGTATTTATTTTTTACCTATTGAAATTTGATTGGGAGATTACTCCTCTTCAAACATTGCACATGTATTAGGAATTATATGGTACCATTTTAAGATCAAAAGGAGTGTTTCTCCAGTTCGCACTGTACCACTGAAACATTTCTTTTAAATTTATTTTCTAAGATAGAGCTTGGGGGTCCAAGAACTTCCCTCCATCTCTTACCAAAGCAGTAGTTCAGAGAGCAAGATTATTGAGATGGCCTCTTTTTATTAGTAGGTTCTTTGGTAATAGAACCAGAACCCATCCTGTATGTTACATGTAACAAGGCCTGATGTATTACAGAGTTTCAGGTAAACTTAAAAGGTAGGCTTTCTTTTATCACTTTTCTTAGTTGAATCAAGAAAGTCTTACATTAATTGTAAATTTGTACCATATCTCTTGATCCTGTTTTATACAAACTACTATCTCTTTTGGCCCTTTATTTCCTCTCCAAATGTAGGGAATCTTCTCTTTTTCTTGAATATTTTCCTGATTTATCCAGCAAATAAAATTGTTTCCCACCATAGCTTCATACTCTTTTATAACCCCTCTGAGAAACAAGATAGCTGTATATTAGTTAACTTTCTATTGCCTGCAGCATGACATCTGCGTGTGGATAGTAAGTCTTCATGATATATTTATTTAAATGAGCCAGTATTTTAGACAGAGATACATTTGTCTGTGGACTCACTGCACAGTACAGCAGAAGTGGACTAAGTGTGCAGAATATGACCCTTAGTTTAGTGCTGTCTACCGTACTTGCCAAAGTTACCAACTGACTTTCCTATAAGAATTGCTGGTCTCCCCCATGTCTGTCTGTACATGAATATGCACATGCATGATATGGCCAGTAGCACTGCAGGAGACTCATGAAAGAGCTATTCTAGAATAATAAGCAGAGAATCAAAAGGCCATTCCTTTTAGATCTTGAGAATGTGATCTCTTAAGTGAACATGATTTACCTTTAAATTCTAGATTTATTTTAATATTAAATTATGATTTTGCTGCTTGAAACAAGAACTCTAGCTAATATTGGAAGAATATTAGCTGGTTTATAAAGATAATAGGCAACAGGGCTGGTGAGATGGCTCAATGGTCTAAAGCACCTACTTAGAACAAGCTAAGCTAAGCAAAGCACAGGGACCGTGGTTCAATCCCCCAGCACCACATACCAGCCAGCCCCGCCCCCTGGTGGGCTGAGCTGGCCCTACACACACACACACACACACACACACACCCACACACACACAAATAAATAAATGTTTAAAAAAATTAAATGTATATATATATAAAAAAAAGATAATAGGCAACAGAGAAAACATTGCCCCAAGACTCAGCTGCAGTTACATGGCAAGGTTAATTGCTAAAGTTGATTGACTTCTCTCCAAAGTCAATGTGTTTTACCACCTTGATCTCAGTATTTTAGTACTGGGTCTATGGAGTCTCACTATATAGATCTCTTTGTTTACCAAAGCCACTGATATGGACCAAATTAATTAAGTTTCATCTTTTCTTCCCTTTTGCTACCACCTCGTACATGTGCTAAGCAACAGAATGGACAATTTGCTTAACAGGAGATACAGTTAGGACTCCTAAGACTTACAGGACTCACATAATTGGAATTCGGTGAAAACAATTTGTTTTTCTTACCAGAAACTAGTGTTTATTTAATATTGCAACACTGTCATGGTGAGCTACTTAATATTGTACTTCATAGAAGAATAAACAGTTTATTGCTGGTGTCATTATTTGTACACGTGTTTGTATTTTTCTCATTCTTCAAAAGGAAATCATTGGCGGGATGTTGGATCTAGAGCCAAGACTTTGGCGGAAGGGCGTCCGTGAAAGCTTTGAGGATCAGAGGAAGAAAGCACTGCAGTTTGCTCAGTGGTGGAAACCATATGACTTCACCAAAAGCAAGAAGTATTGACATGCACCTCTCATTTTAAATTTCCTCTTCAGATACTCTTTTAATCTCCCCTGCGTCTCACTAAACAGTTGAGCCTCAGCTCATAGGGAAAAAGTAACAGCGGCAGGCTCCTCTGGGTCTCTGAACCCTGTGCACTGTTGTGTTGTTCTTTTCCTTCACCTTCTGGAGACTTTATTTTAATTTTTGTAGAGTAACAGCAAGTTTACTGGATGACCACTTACATTCCTGTTCTCTACCTACTTTTTGGTGTTTTGAATAAGTTAATCTAGTGAAGGGTTTTCTCAAAGGATAGCTGGGAAGCCTTGCAAATCCTTGGTTTAGAGGAAGTTGGGCATGCTTCAAGGTAGTTAAGCTTGTTTCTTGGCTTCTTTGCTTTTCAGAATAAAATGATATATTCAATAATAATTGAATTCATTTTAAAATAATTGTATATAAGGGCTCTTGATTTTCTAACCATAGCATATAGTATTACTATTTGCTTTGTTCAAGAAAAAGACTACCCTGAGAAAACTAAAGAATTAAATGGTAATGAAAGTGTAATATAGTCACAATTCAA